GGGTACAGTGGGTAGGAAGCAGGAGGCTTTGGTTTTTCATTTCAATAGAACCACTGCAACCAGCTCACGCCACACTAGCCCCTTCCTCCCTGTCCCTTCCACACCCCACACTGCCTCCACCTTATTCATCCTTCTTGTTCATCAAGCTAAGCAAGATGGCATTATTGCTGAGCTGGAGCAAGGAACTCTCTGGAGCAGCGGTCGCCAACCTTTCAGACCTCACAGACCACCTGTGGTCCGTGGACCACCGGTTGGCGACCGCTGCTCTGGAGTATTTCTTGAACCAGTTTCATGATTATGAAGTGAATTAATATCATCAGGTCTATCTGAAAGTCTGAGCCAAATATATGATATATGTGACTGACTATAAATATATGAACTGATTACACACACACACACACACACACACACACACACACACACACACACACAGGCAGCGGTAACTTCCCTAAATGAAACAAGCTTCCCTACTGCTCAGAAATTGCAATGAGGCTTAATATGTTTAGGCTTTCCTCACCTGATTAATAGATACAAAAGACAGGTGTTTATGGGCAGCAGGTATAGTAGGAGAATAAGTAGAAGCATATACAGGTTCCTATAGAGCAAAGGGAGAGGATTAGAGGTGAGAAGACTTATCAGATCCGGGTGGGGAGGGGGAGAGACAAAAACAAAAACAATGATTTCTCTAACAGAATGTTAATTTCTCATTGCAATTTCAGTTAGCTTTTCAAAAGAGTCCTTCCCATTTGTTCATTTTTTAGAATGCTGAAATAAATCCATAAGTACAGTAAGAATACTCTAGTCAGTTTTATGATCTATTGAAGATACTCAGTTATAGAAAGGGAACCATAAGTTTAATTGAGTTTTAACATTTACCATAAAATATCTACTTCAAAGCCTTTCAAATTTTTTCATGACATGCTAAAAAAAATTAAGGACACAGGATAGCTCCCCACTCTGAATGAAAGTGACATCTTGCCTTGGGATAAGAAACCAAACCCAGAGGGCACTAAGGGAGCCACCCCTGTGAGAATTATAGCTGGCAGGCATATTGCTGTAACCCAGGGACACCTGTTTTAGAGTCAGGCTTACCCAAAGCAGTTTAGAAACGATACTATCATCTGTAAATCCTCCTTCTTCCTACAGGTTAAAACAGATAGGTAACATTGCAGAGTGTCAGAAGAGCTGGGTCAAGTTAAGATGTGATAACCATTTGCCAGGATTTTGTGCCTGGGTTCAGCCAGAGGCATGCATGTACTCACATTGGCAGGCGACATACACCAGGCAAGCTCCCCCCGCCCCCCCACCCCATCAGCATGCTAAACTTTAACTTGGGCCTCTTTCTTCCTCCTCCCCTTGCTCTTTAAACTGACTTCACTCCTAAATTGTGATTTAGAATTTCAATGACAGCAGGAATGAGAACGTGCATGTAGCAGATTTACAGTACCTTCCTTAAATTTTCAAAGACTCATTCTGGGGACATCATAGATCTTAGCTTAATTATTTTTATAATGGTAGTTTTTGTGTGTGTTTTCTTGTATTTTTTAAAATTTATCTTTGTCATTGAACATATTACAGATGTCCCCCTTTTTCCCACCATTGTCGCTCTTTTCCCCACTCCAGCCCCCTCCCCAGGCCTTCAGCACACTACTGTCTGTGCATGGGTTATGCATATATGCATAGAAATTCTTTGGTTAATCTCTTCTCACCCTCACGACCCCTTCCTTCTGAGATTCCTCAGTCTGTTCCATGCTCCCATGTCTCTGGATCTATTTTGTTTGTCAGTTTATTTTGTTCATTAGATTCCACATATGAGTGAGATCATGTGATGTTTGTCTTTCTCTGACTGGCTTATTTCACTTAGCATAATAATCTCTGTGACCTGACCTTACTGAATGATAGCAAATATCAAATCCTAATTTGTGACCCAGAAGTAGACCCAGGATTGTAATGACAAACTCTGTACACTATTTTTATTTCCTAAAAATGTCTGATATCCCCAGTGATTATCTTAACAAAGGGGCATGGGATTCACTATCTGCATGCCAACATGGGCTGTAATTTAAAAGAGTTATTTGTTTAAAATAAGTAACTGCAATGTTGTTGTAACAAAGAAACTTTTGCCAAATTACTTCTTCAAAATGTCACTTTGTTTCATTGCATTCATTCTTTTGATGGAATGAATTACACTGCAGGAAACTGTCCACAGATTGTGCCCATGTGTACACATTCCACAAATCTACAAACCAAATGGCTTTAAAACCAATTATATATGCTATAAAAGCAAAAACGCTTAAGTCAGGTTAGCACTGCCCTGGAATAAGCCAAGAACAGGAGAAAGAAAAGAGGAGGAAAGAAAGGTGGTAAGGGAAATAGGAAGAGAGGAGAGAGAAGGAACCTGAACTCTTTGTCAGAGGAAAGGACAGAGTCAGCTCCCTAAGTAATTAGTGCTCCAATTTATCAACTCTGTTTTGGGGGACAGATTTGGAAAGCAAGGAACTGCTGTTAAGTTATATATTCCCTGAGAAATGACTGATATTCCAGTAGGAAAAGGAATTGACTTAGTTTCCCAAATCGATTCATGGACGTAAAGAATATTTCTTACCACATAGGCTCCCGAATGAGATGCTGGCTACTGCACCACAAATTTGTATTCTTTTGGGATAAACCCTTTGACAGAAACAGCAGCTATAGATTTTTAAGGCAATGTTTACATTTTTAATGTGGTTACTAAATAACATAAAATTACTATGTTTATTGGACAGCAGTTATTTTCATAGGGGCAGTGGAAGCAATTTAGAGTCCTGTCTCTATTTCCTGCCTCCTCTGTGTTCCCATAGGCTACAACTCATGGGACTATGCCTACTGCACACAAAAGCTTGAGGGGACTAAGTGTAAAATGTGTGGTGACCATGAATATGTGCTGTTTGATGAAATTGTGCAGAAAATGATGACCCGGCTGTAAAGCCAGCTCCTTTCCACCTTGGTGGAAAAGACGGAAGGTTCTGGTGCTCACTCCCCTGAGCCGGCCCACACAGTGAGGTCCCACCTGCACATACCACAGGTCAAGACTGTCCTTGCTCTCCAGGGCAGCATTCAGACACCAGCACGCAGTGGTGTTTCTCAAGCACTCCTCGGCTGTCTGGGGACTGTCTTAAGACAGATCGGGTTTAAGGCACCTCACATCTGAGCAGAGTGGAGATGTGACAGAAATGTACTGCTGGCCCTTGGGAAGAATTCAAGGCAAGGACTTATCAGAGGCCATGTGAAACCATTTGTTCTCCACAGAACTTGAGAAGTCTCACTGTCTGCTAGGAAAGCCTAAAATAGATCGACTTATTTTAACTTCAAAGAGCTGATTGTCTCTGGCCAAAGTGAATGAGGTCACTGAGGACGGGTGGAGCAGTGAGTTCACCATTGCTTCCATTAGTCCAGAGCATCATTCACACTCAAGCCCAGTCATGCTCAGAGCCCCAGTGCTTCTGTTGACTGGGATTTCCACTCCACCGGCAACTGCAGTCACCTTCTCCCATCGCTTGACTTCTAAGTCCCTTAGTCAAGTGTTAAGGTAGTTCAGATCACTTCCTCTACTCACAGCCTCTGGTTTGCAGAGCCTCAAATGACCTGTCTTCTAAGTGGGTGGAGCATTTACCTCCTTCCACACTCTGTGATGAATCTATCTAGCTTTGTGTTTTGCAGCTTTATTTGAATTTTCACCTGGCCATTGCGCCTGCCATCTTCTCAGGCTTCTTTGTATCTTCCAAAATGACCTAAGTGTTAAAGTTATTTTTGAACTACTGATTTCAAGACTTTTTAAAATAAAGTTTGTGGGCAATGGGACCTAGTTGAAGGACCCAATTTTCTTTCACTTCAGGATCTCATTCTTAAAATCCAAACTTCACATGTATGCAAATCCAAAAATCACATGGGATTATATTTGAGAAATTTACTAATGACTGAGAATTAAATGTTTTAAGTCATTATCTTTAATATCATGCATGTTTCAAAAGAGAGAATTCAAATTGCTATTCCAATTTGACCTATAAAGACACAGAAATACTATATAAAATAGTGTCAGAACTCCCACCTCACAGTTCTGTGTGCAAGCATATTTGTAAGTTTCTTAATGTATAAGGGCCACATTCACAATTTCCCTCTTTTACAGATGCTTAAGTTGGTTTAGAACTAGAAGGGGTCCAGGTGATCATCTGGTAGAAAGTTTTTTCTTTTCTGTTTGAAGACTTTTGATGCTGCCTGTGGATGTGCCTGCCCCAGGTGTTCCCCTTGCCTACAGCCAGCAAGACTTCGGCAACCACCAGGCCAAGCAGCAGGAAAGCCAATATCTGTTTTGAAAGTGTGCACTAACTGGTCAAATGCTGGTCATCATTACATTAGTAATTTAACAAATAATCAATACTTCTGCATATCAAATCCTTTCCAGTAATGATAACAATCCGTTACTAATTTTATTTAAACTTGTAATATATCTTCCTGTATATTCTCAATAAAAGGCATACCTGCTCATTGTGAAATATGCTTACAATTATGAAATAAGGTTTCACTGACCACAAAATTATGTCCCTATTTTGTATATTTAGGTTTTAAATCTTAGTATAGGACATTTAAGTCCATACTTTATATGCAACGTATAAAGTGTTAGTGGTCAATTAAAGTTGTTCATTATAAAGGCTTTAATAACATTGTAGAGTCAGAATTCATTTAAGAAGGTTTTAAACTGAAGTAAAAGTACACACTTCAGAATTTAGGAACTTGTTTGCCAATACATTATGCAGGTGGTGCTGTTCCCAGTTCTATGACATCTCAAGACTTTACCTTTTGATCACCTGAAGCTGCTGTGCAACAGACTTTAAGTGTGAACTCAACGAGCAAGGAAGTGCTAGCGCCTCACAGAGCAGTCAGTGATCAGTGAAGTCTTGCATGCTTGTTTGATGCACTTCCGAGCATGATGTCAGTGCTTTTCCTAACATGGAAAACATTACCTTCTTCTTGAGTGACTGTTCCACTTCTTGTATGTGCAGGCTACTTGCAACAGTCGTTTTGCCGTACTCCTGCTTTCTGGTAAGTCTGTTTTTCCAATCTTCCTCCCCACTCTTCTTCAGCAGTGCTAATCTAAGAGGAAAACATGTCAACCGAACAGTTCAGCAACAAACTCTTACTTGTAATAAAACCATAATGTAGATAACTTAGAAGTCTTTGGCCATTAAATAACCACAGTTACCTAATTTTAATCTCTCTAAATTTCATTTATTCTGAAGTATGTCTAAAAAAATAATACAGGCATCCCCTTTCTAAGATGGCCCCAATGATTTTAAAGTTGACGGAAATGCAAAGATGTAATTTGACTTGCCAGATAAAAACTGCATTATCATTCCACTAAAGGAACAGCTGTGGTTTTTCCTTCTTTTTGGGCTGAGGGCATGACCCCAGAGAAACATGTATGCTAATGGCCCCTTTTGGTCACTTGATGAAACAACATTTAATGACTTGCTAGGTAGTAACTTACTTGCAGAAAATATAGCAGAAATTGGTTTAAAAACTTAAAAGCTGACAATCTCTTAATATCATATCTTTCAATTACAGGGAAAGAAGATGTTTAAGATTGTTTCTCTTCCTGTATCCTAAGCCCTGTTTTTCCCCTCCAAACAAACTTGGTCTTTCCAATCTATCCTCTTAATACAGAAGCTTCTCTACAAACCCACTTTAAAAATTATTACTTCAACTTTCCTCAGGGGAAAGCTATACATAAAAAAAGAATCTAATTAACTGAGACTTTTACCTAACCTACTTTATTTCAACTCTAGTTGATATAAAGCTGGTTGGATGTTATAACCTGTGAAAGGTTCTTTTGGTGAACATGAGGCTGTTTCAGCTGACTCTATTATAATGAGTGAAGAATACTTACCAGTAGTTCTCAACCTTCTGGCCCTTTAAATACAGTTCCTCATGTTGTGACCCAACCATAAAATTATTTTCGTTGCTACTTCATAACTGTAATGTTGCTACTGTTATGAATCGTAATGTAAATATCTGATATGCAGGATGGTCTTAGGCGACCCCTGTGAAAGGGTCATTCGACCGCCAAAGGGGTCGCGACCCACAGGTTGAGGACCGCTGACTTGGACAAACATGGGAAAGACAAAAGGCAAAAAAAAAAAAGAAAAATGGTGATCCTTAAACTCACATGAGCTGATGCTCAACAACTTTAAAGATTGGGAAAAAAATGATTAAACCCCCTTTAGACTCCCTTGCCCTCTTTGCCCAGCCTGCTGGGCCATGCCTTTTAAATATCATTAACACGTGCCCACAAACAGCACAGCAGCTCTAGCCTGGCCGTCAACTTGGGTTAAGTAGCCTGGTCTCCCTTCCTTATTGGTCATTTTGGGAACTGGACTAGATGGTCTCAAAGGGCCCTTCAATTAAGTTTCCTGATTCAATTAAATATTTGAATTAGAGATGGGATGTGATATATTCCATGATAAAAGTTTTGTTAAACAAATAAGAAAAATTTTGCAGTACTTAATAACCCATTTACATTTATAAATTCATACATAATCATACCTTATACTTGCCCATTCATTCAGTCAAATAATGGAAAGTAAGCCATGAAGAAAAGAACCCCCCCAAAGTGGGCAGGAGTTTCAGATCCCCACCCCAATCACTTCCTTCCCCTTCTTTTCTCTTCCTTTATGCTTCGTGACAGCAGTTAGACCTCAAATGTCCATTCCATAAAACTGGTATAATGCCACCTTACCTATCTACCTGTGATATTGTGATTTATAAGAAGAAATACATATTTTGTCTTTGGCCCAGTTTCTGGCACAGAACTCCTAAAACTCCTGGAATTTCCTAAGTGATGAGAGCCATAAAATGTCTTTTATTATTAATGGCGTGACTTTTGGGAAGCACATAAGTATGGGGGCTGATGCCAGGAAAACCAACCATATGATTAGAAGGCTGAAACTTTTAGCTCCACTCCTTGACCTCTCCAGAGGGGAGAGAGCCTGAAGATTGATTAAATCATCGACTATTTGCAACTGAACTTAATAGTGCTTATGTAATGAAGCCTTCATAAAAACCCAAAAGAACAGGGTTCGGAGAGCTCTTGAGTTGGTGGAACATGGAGACTTGGGGAGAGTGGTGTGCTTGGAGAGGATGTGGAAGCTCTATGCCCATTCCCACACACCTTGCCCTACACATCTCTTCCACTGGCTGTTCCTGAGTCACATGCTTTCACGGTAAACTAGTGATCTAGTAAGTAAGTGTTTCTCTGAGTTCTATGAGCTGCTCTAGCAAATTAATCAACCCAAGGAGGAGGTCGTGGGAACCTCTGAATTATAGCTAGTAAGCAGTACAAGTAACAACCTGGACTTGTGACTGGCATCTGAATTGGGGGTGGGAGGAAGTCTTGTAGGACTGAGTCTTTAACCTGTGGTATCTGCTGCTAACTCCAGATAGAGTGTCAGAATTGAGTTGAATTATAGGACACCCAGCTGATGTTAGAATTGCTTGGCTATGGGAGAAAAAACACATACATTGGAAATTGAAGTCAGAATCTTACTAAGAGAGCCCCCATTTGGCTCAAGAATCAATTTAGCCTTAAATTCTATAATCAATGATGTTTGACAAGACTCTGCATGCTACAAGGGCTAGTTCGGAGTGTCAGAATAGAGTTGAATTATAGGACACCCAGCTGATGTTAGAATTGCTTGGCTATGGGAGAAAAAACACATACATTGGAAATTGAAGTCAGAATCTTACTAAGAGAGCCCCCATTTGGCTCAAGAATCAATTTAGCCTTAAATTCTATAATCAATGATGTTTGACAAGACTCTGCATGCTACAAGGGCTAGTTCATGTACTTGAAAACAAATTCTAAATTCCTTTCAGTGTTTTCATCTGAAGTTCAGTCTATATATACCTAAGAGCTTTATCTTTTCTCCAATTATCCTCAATGAGTCAGCTTTTTCTAATAAGAAAGAAGAATCTAACAAAATCAAATCATGAAAAGATATAAATAGTATTTGCATGCTGCAATAGAGCTCTCAGAGTTTTCAAAGTATCTATACATGGGACTTTCAAAAAGTAAATGTGCCAGTATTTTTACAGCCAAATAAAGAGGTGCTTCTAATTCATCATCCTGTGCAGACAGACAGTCATCTCACTTATATCTTTCATACAAACTGGTCTCGTCTCTTCACCCTTGATGTAGACCAGTAGTAATTCATCTTGGCCATCTACCCTTTTAAACCAATTAGATTTGATTTCGAATGATTTGAGAGAATTTAAAAAAATAAGAAATTCATCCTCAGGAGTTGAGTTTATTAAAAATAATGCACTACAGTTTTTGAGGACCTTCTAAAAAAAAGCTCCCAATTCCTTGGAGCAATGACAACATCATCTAAATAATCATTTGGTTTCCCTGGTGTCTGATTTGAGGAATTAAAAACTGACTTAGAAAAAAAATGAGTTGTGGAATCTTTAATCACTTATTAGTCTACCTTATAATCTGCTGACCTGCATAGCAGTCTCTAAGAAACTAAATATTGCTATTACCAATCTGACAGACAAGGAACAATGCATGCAGGCCCAGGATTTGGTTGACAGGAGCCACACTGTGTGTCAGTAGGACAGGGAGATGTGGCTCCAAACCAGGCATGTCCTGCCTTCCGCCAGGCTGGTGTCACAGCATTAGTGCATGAGCTGACCAGACACAGTTTGCCCTCAGGTTTCAGGGGCAGCACAGCACTCTGGCTTTCTTATAATGTTCTCCCTACATCCCGGGTTGGCCTTCAAAGATTCCTCCATTCCAAGAACCTGAAATCTTGCTTCTGGATGTGCTGGCAGGGCCATCATCAGGGACTTCCAAAGACTACAGAGTAACCAAAATAATCTGGATGAAACTGTGTTTCAGTTGAGCCCACATGGTACTTGATCCCAGCCCTAGCCTATGGAATGCAAATGACGGATAACTTAAAAATCACACACACTGAAACTTTAATGTATTATTCTGTCCCTTTAGATTTCCTACTTGGTGTTCCACAAGCAGAGCAGAGCAAGAGACCTTTCCAAATGCCTTCTTGCCTCCTGCAGTCTCACAACCCTTCTGACTCACCGCAGACCACCGTGTGCTGGGGAGGGCCGAGGAGCTAAGTGTCTGGTGTTACACGTGACATAAATGAAGGCCTATGCCATTCAAAGGACTGTCAGCACCTCCAACACCCGCCAAGTCCAAGTGCTATTTGAAGGGCTGTGATGCTGAGAGGCTGGGCATCTGCTTAGTCTGAGGCTGAGAACCTAGTGAGTGGCTCTGCATTAGCCTATTAACCCCGAGGCTTGGCCAGGGCTGCCAGAGCATGTGCTTGCCAGGTCGCCTGGGGAAATGTTCACGCCTCTTGCCACAGCCCACACTTTTTTCAGCAAAAATACCATGGGAGGGACAAACCATGTGCCCCTAATCTTCAACCTGTGTTCTTCCCTCTTTAAAAATGTCCCTGCATTTCAGAGAATTACTGCACCTCATAGATTTCAGGTAGGGCTGGACAGCACTGGTTAGTATTTACAATGGCCTTGGCTAGTTTGCAGGCTGAAGGAGTGAACTAACATGTCTTTTAAATGAGGAAAAGCCAGAGACCAAAAAAGGAAGGTTAAAGGGGAATGATACCTTCATCACTAATTCTTACATAAATCTTGGGCCCTCTAGTGGCTGACATCTCCCAGAGGAACCCAGAATCTGCTGGGGAAGCATGAATACAGCCTGTGCTGGGTGGAAGGCAGCAGGGTGGATGGAGGGGCATGTGGGGAACACAGCGGGACCCCAACTGCTCCCCTAAGTCAGGATTCTGCATGCTGGCAGGAGGCATGGGCGAGTTTTTCAATATTCTTCAACTAAGTCCTCACATCCTACCAATTTCCCAAAGTGAAGGCATGGCTCCTTTGACTTTTTTAGTAATCTCCTCCCTAAATATAAAAGCTCAGATTCGGTTGTTTCAGTAATAGTGGAAATAAGATTCTAAAAGCCTAGTGTACTTATAAAGAAGTATCAAAGGTTTTATCCCTAAATAACATAAACATAATTTGATTTGCAATGCTTTTCCAAAGAAGTTCCCAAACAGGAACAATTTACTCTCCAACCATTTGGACATATATGAAACAAAGCAGATTGCACTTAGGTTTTATGCTCATTAGGGTTCAAACTTGACATTCTAGATGTCAGAAAAGATGAAAAAAGAAAAGACACTTTTATATATGTTTCTTCTTGAGCATCAATCATATTCTGAAAGAGGAGGTGGAAGAGTTGGAGTCCAGCCCTGCTGTCAGTTCTGGTCACTGTGTGACCCTTGTGGACACTGGAAATGAACCCCTCCTTTGGCCAAATGAGGCAGTCAGAGGAAGTCAGAATAAGGTTTAAAAGTTCTATTTTATCTGTCACCTCAAAAAAGAAAAGTAAACCCCCCAAAATTACATGGATAGCATTCTTATTTTAAATAGGTCAAGTTTCATTATCTCATTTTAACAGAAGGGATTATAAACCCAATTTAGAGGAAAGTAAATGGATTGTAAGGACATATAGTTTTGTTATTTCAGCAAAGTAAAAGTAAAATACCATAACAATCAGGGGGAGCCCAGCTGGCGCGGCTCAATGGTTGATAGTCAATCTAGGAACCAGGAGTCAAGGTTTGATTCCAGGTCAGGCACATGGTCAGATTGTGGACTCCATCCCATCTGCCTTCTTCTCTGAAACAGATCATGGGGGATCACTGGCAATATATTTTGTATTAGCATAATTTATTATAAACACAGCTGCTAAATAAAGTGCCCCCCATCCCTTTCAAACATCATGCAGGCAAACTTTGTTTTTTATGTGCTTCACAGATATTGCATGCTTTACAAGTTGAAGGCAAGACCCTCCACCAGTGAAAGAATTAGGGCTCTACTGTGATACTTGCTTTATGGCAGTGGTCTGGAACCAAACCCACAATAAATCTGAAGTGTGCCTGTATATTTAACAATTAAACTGAATAGCAGGATATTTAACAAGCATTCCTTACTGTTATGGTTCTGAACAGTTTGGGGTCACCCTTGGAGACTGAGAGAGGTTCTGTTTCCCACTCGCCAGAAAGTGCCTGTGCACACACAGTTGATTGAACCCTTCCCAGCAGTTCCCAGAAACCCTGCAGCCATCCTTGAACTCCTCAGTCATCCACAAAGCCTAGGTTAAGAAGCTGCACCTTTATAGCATCTCAAATTTTCTAAAATGAGAGTTTTATAGTAGGAATCAAACTGCTTTCAGAAAGATACAAATACATTAAAACTTATTAAAAATAGCAAATAAATCAATAATTATCACACCATGGATAGACATAAAACTTCACCAAAAGTCCTAAGTCCCAGCAGATAGATTATGTACTCCAAGATGGGGAAATACCCCTTAAAAGCCTTTGAGAGAAGGAGTATCTTAGCATTTTCCATTGGAATTTTACCCCAGAAATACTTTTTGATCTATAGAACATCAGAACTGCATATAAGTGATATTTTCATTAATATCCTTAAATGAAATCTCTTTCATCTCACCTAACCGGTTATCAATAGTTGGATCTCTGGGACCCAACTTCTTTGAGCCAGGTGTCCACAGAGGATTCAGGCCAAACAGTTTCCCATATTCAGGACATCAGTCCTCTCACTTAGTTTATCCCGTCAGCCCTTCACTGATGCCTCCTCAGTCTAGTAAGTCTAATTTATTGTGAATTTTAAATAAGATTTAACAACCTTAATAATGCATTTGTTGAAAATGGCATCATCTAGTTAATATTTTAGGAATATTGTTCAAAAGCTCGGCTGGAAAAACAGAGTGAAGAATTTTCATTGTAGTTGGATATATCTATGTAAATAAGAGTGAGCAGAGTCTAACAGAGCAAGAACACTTCTGGGTGGTGGGAGGTGCTAAGGAAGTCTAGGTAGGCAGAACTGTAAGTAACTGATGGTAGAAACAATTCTGCTCATCACACCCGGAAATTGACGAGACCTTTCTTGCTGCAGTGTTCCTATCACTATTACATCTTTTGCTACTTAATTCAACTGAAGGTTAACAAGGAAAATACAACTTGAAATATTTAGCTCCCGCTCTCTGTTTCTGTCCCATTTAAATATATACTATCCTATCAATCCTCCATCATTCTTTTGAATTAAATGATGTTATGATGTTGATACTCAAATTTAAACTTTCATAGCTATTACCTGGTACAAAATTTCTAAAAGCAGTTCATAAAAGGCATCTAATTTACTTTCTGTAAAACAAACAAAACTTAGATTTTAATCCCAAAAATTTATATTCTAAATGACCCTGGTCAGTGTAGCTCAGTTGGAGCATTGTCCCAAACACCAGAAGGTGGCAATCTGGATTCCCAGTCAGGGCACATACCCAGGTTCCAGGTATGATCACCCGTCGGGGAGTGTGCCGGAGGCAACTGATTGATGTTTCTCTCACATTGATGTTTTTCTCTCTCTATCTACCTCTCCCTAAAAATCAATAATACCAGTACATACTGATTTTCTAAATGAACTTACCTTCATTTTAAATGAATGTATCTTCATTCCCTCAAATAAATATACAAATATGTATTTGTTTATATACATACTAGAGGCCTGGAGCACGAATTCTTGCACAGGTGGGGTCTGGCTGGCCCACCCTGATGGGGGCCGATGGGGTCAGGCCAGCTGGGGGTAGGCTACTAGGGGTGGGGCTGGCTGGGGGGAGGGGCCACAGGAGGTTGAGGTGGACCAATCGGGACCCCAATAGGGCCGGCTGGCCGCCGCTGTGCACGTCATAGTGACCGGTCATTTTGGTCGGTTGCCTTTTATATATATAGATTTTATATAAACACTGAGTACATTAAATTAGATGCCATCTGGATCTGAAAGGGAAAGAGCCAAGCTCTCTGTTCCCATCACTGGTTAGTCAAAAATGTTAATATAAAAAATAAAATAAAACTGTAAACAAATGAAGCAAGCAAATGTCTGTTTCTGTGGTTTCCTCATATGAGTCTGGAACTGGCCCTCATCCAGCCTTACCCGAGCAGGCAGGGAGTCACTGCAATTCACTCTTGACTTCCCCAAAGAATTCTAATATAACAACACATCTCCTTATGTAGCTAGACTCACGATTTTATCCCTTTGCCCATTACTCAGATCTCTCCTTAAAAGTAAGTTGTAGTTCCTCCCTAATAGAATTACTTTACAGTCATTAAGTCTAATTACCTTTCTTTAATTGACATGGTTTTGCTGGGTGAATCAAGGCTGCCCTCCACTGTTGGCATTCTGATCTCTCCAGCAGCAAACATCGCACATGGATTCTTATAGTGCTTCTCCTGTGGTAGCTCTGCAGGCTCTTGTTGCTTCCAGGACACTGGGGCTGCAGCTTGAACAACACTGTTTCCAGCAACTGTGCCGCTCTGCTCAGAAGTGGGTTCCCCGAACTCTGACACTGGGAAGGAAAGGAGTGACGTCAGCACTTACTCCTCCAGGCAAGCATTCTTCCAGCTGTTCACCCCCCAACAGTCCTGCATTTGCAGTGTAATCTGTGGGCACATAGCCGGCTACCCAATCCACTGGAATTTATGCTAATCTGTGGCAACTATATGCTGTGAGAAAACCAAACTTCCCAGTGGGCTACTCCATACAGCAAAAAATTGATCATTTCCTGTGTGTAAGACACAGGAAGTTAGCTTTAACTGTAAACTACAAAATGTTTCTGTTAGATTTGATCGAACAATTGAATTGATACCCCTACCCCAGGAACTGGCTTTTTAGGTCATTTCACTATGGACATTCCCTTTGCTGAGACCACATTTCACTTGGGGTGACCACATTCTGTTATCTCCCCTCTGGGTATGCATAAAGAAGTCTCCGCCCAGAAAAAGCCTGCCAAAAGTCCTTTGAAAGCCGCCGACTCCTGTCACTGGGGGCTGGAGCCATCCAGGCTCAGCCACCTGGTGTGCAGATGATTGAATAAATTCGTAATCCCTCACCATTCTGGCCTCGTGCATTCCTCCTTTGGTGACCTAACAGTTTCTACTCCTCCAGATTGTACTTTTGAATGTGCCATAGCCACAAGCCAAAACCACTATTATAACTTACTATCATTTTATGTAAATGAAAAAAGAGAAAGTACCTTGCAAAAGAGCTTGCTAGCCTACATACGAGGAATGCAGAAGAAGAGCCTGGAAATCCACAGCCTGGGTTCAAATCCTGCTCCCCTGCACTTACCCAGCCCTGGACATTTGGGGTCATCAACTCATAAAAGGGGCCAACAGAGCTAGCAGTTGACAAGGCTGTTATGTGTTTTAATGTGACCAAAGATGTCAAATACCCTTATCAAGATGTGTGTAAGAGCTTCAGGTATTTTTATTGCTAACAAATTTATAATCCACCAAATAAGTGAAATTCAAGAGGAAGAAAAGTCTGGGGGAGAGTAGGACCCACACTAAAATTTTAATCAGCTAGTTATAAAGTGCCTTTATAATTTAATTAGAAACAATCATAAATACATGCAAACAATCCAGCAGAAACTAAAAACCCAGTCGGTTTAGGAGCAGTAGCAACTTACCTCTCAGCGAAAACTTCCTCTTTGTGACATTCTCCATGTACACCTTCTCTTCAAAGGGCTGCCTGCCCTTCAAGTCTGGGTTCCCTTGTGTGGTGCTTTTGGCAGTGGAAAACTCCTCATCCCCAGGGAGGGAGACAGGGGCATTTGGTAGCTCTAGGCTTCCTTTTCTCAGAACATCGTATTTAGGTTCTTTATGGCTGTCTCCTTTCTGGACTGGATTGAGGATAGGGTAGGATGGCTCTTCTTCCTCAAAGGATCCATTTTTAACACCACCATCTCTACCTGTCAAGACTCTCTTGCTTTCCGTCTCTCCATAATCTCTAAACATACCTTTGCTCCCACTGTCCTCTACTGAAGGCTGACAGGATTGGGGCTTCAGAGTGCTTCTAATCGAAGAATCTACATTTTCTATGGAAGAAGGAAACTTATAGCCAGTGACACTTGTGTTGTCATCCATGGATGGCTTTGTCCGAAGGTCCCCTGCGTACATAGGAGTGATTGTAGATGCCATGGTGGACACAGAAGTGTTAACAGTGGGCGAGAAAGGAATGAGCTTTCCACTTTGTACCTGGGAGGACAGAGTGAAAAGGAAAAAGCTGATTTAAAAATAATTTCTATATAAACCCCAATGTATGGATTGACCTACTGAAATACTACATTTGGTGCAGTTTTACTGCTTGTCTTGTGGGAAACCAATGCTAGCCACAGTTACACAACGCATCTCATTAATCAAATCATCTGGGTGAAAAGCAGACTGGGTGTCCTATTTTTCTCTCCCAAACAGGAACAATCCAGATGATTTCAGCAAGCAAATTACAAAAACAAGTAAAGAGAAACATACTTGGCATGGTGACTTTCTTAGGAATGAAGTCGTTACCAAGTCATCTACAAGTAACACAGTGTACAGGTACACCACCTTCATTATATCACTAACCGGAGATAACCCGGTGCTCCTATAGTTTAAGAACATGTACAAGAAAACTGGAATTTGATGACAGTGTACCCACCTGTTCCACCTCTCCAAGCGTTACCGGCTGAGTTTGATAGCGAGCATTCATTCTCCTCTGTCTCGTGTCTATTCTGTTTCGGGTAGAAATAGCCTTTGAGACTGGCTGGGACAATTTGTTAAACAAGGCCAACTTCTCTGCCAAGCTTAGAGTGGAGGAATCAGGTTCACCTTGTTCAGCAGAATCTTTGCCCTCATTTGCCTGGTCTCTGGCTAAAGCCTTTTGGTGAGCAGATGCCTGTAATCTGAAAGGGAAAAAAAGTCAGTAACACAAATGAAAACAAACACAAGCCCACTGCTAATTTTATGTTAACTTTCTTTCAAGTGTCAGTTTTGAAAAGGGCTTTATTTTTGTCCAGATACATTTAAGATAGGTGCAGGCAGTTGTTTGGCTATTAAAGGAGACCTTAAAAGCAGAGTAGTTGGGGTACACTAGCTTTGTCAATTTCACAAAGGGCAGATTTTTAGCTTTGAATTATCTCTAAAAATTGAATTTCCTGTTTTAAGAAATGGAGGTCAGCTTGGACAAACCTTATTTTTGAGAAAAAACTTGTATTGTTAGTATCAATAATAAATAAGGCTAAAAGGAATCTTAAGGCATCAGCTATGGCATATTTAGACCTTATCTTGATATGTGGTTCAGAAGATGGTTTTTTCATTTAAAATAATTAGCAAATAGAATAATCATGCTGTCCACAACATAATCCACAACACAGGGTTTTGATTTTCACTTGTTAAACACAAATGGCTTAATTTTAAGATTCTTTCACTCCTTCACTCTAGCACAGTGGTTCTCAACCTTGGCTGCACATTAGAATCACCTGGGAATCTTTTTAAAATCCTGATTTCTGGGCCTCATCCTCCGGAAATTCTGTTTCTTTGTTATGGGGTGGGGCCACAACATTAGTAACAAAGAAACAGAATTTCCGGAGGATGAGGCCCAGAAATCAGGATTTTAAAAAGATTCCCAGGTGATTCTAATGTGCAGCCAAGGTTGAGAACCACTGCTAGCACTTTCTCTCATAGGTTTAAATCATTGGCTGATAGGGCTCTTGTGTTCTACTTTATGTACTTCTGTACTGGCTGAAATTTTATAGTGAATGTGTATTTTTATAATTAGACATTAGAGATTAAAAACACAAAAACTCTCCAGCGGAAAAAAATCTAATTCCCAGTAACTTGAAACATAAAGGAAATTTCAGACAATGGTAAGTCCCTCTGGCTCTCAGGCAGAGAAGACTTCCAGTTACATGGCCACGGTGACTCCCCAAAGGTTTAAGACAAGCCCCCTCTGCCACTGGCAAACCCAATTCTCAGTCCAGTAAACAGTATATTCTGCCTTGACTCCAATTAATTACCACTTCACATGTTGTCCCAGACCAAAGAGCAGCGTCAGTGTTCCAGAACACTAATGAAGATGGCAATAGGCACTCTGTCTTGGTGTCTTCCCTGAGGTCAACAGGTGAACTGGGAGGGCAACCTCAACCTCTTTCCCAAGTGATGTCTCAGGTTCTGGGCTGTGCCAGCTTTATTTCTGCACTGTCATTTTATTTCTTTTAGTCTTATTTTTAGCCTTTGTATTTTGGCCCATAATAGCAAAATAGAAGGGCTATTTACATACCTTAAGGACATAATTTTAAAACATGATAATGAAACATCTTTCAGACACTATAAATTCTTAATATCCTAATTCCCAAATATAAAGGCATTGTCTATAATTAGAAACAGATAGGATTGTTTTTAACACCTATTTGTGTCTACATGTTTTTTTAAAAATCCTGAGTATTATCAGAATTTCAACATTCACATTAACTCCCATTTTCTATTAATCTTTATTAAATGCTAGTACTTTAGATTGAAGAATGACATTTCTTAGGGATGGCGATGTTTATGAAAAACAGAAACAAAGCAAATGGATAAGTGAATTAGTGTGATCCTTGTTCCAACACATCATGGATGCAGGTAGATGAGATGTTTCCTCATGCAGGCCTACATGAAGCTATCAGTGTCGTGAACTATGACAAAACATTCCTGGAACAACTCATTGCACTAACTTGTTGTCAAAGAAATGAAAGCCATTCAAGATTTTCAGACTCGTCTGTAGTCTACCACCTTTGCCCTCAGGCCACATGCTGCTATTGCTGTCCAGTACCTGGCAGGCTGCACAGTGCTCTTAGCTACAGTGGGACTAGGAAGTCTTGTCAATACAGGGTGGGTGGCCACAGAGCACGAAGCAGGGAGAGGTTCACTTTAAAGCAATTGCCAAAGAAGGAACATTCATAAGGAGAGAGAAGAAAAGAAGCATTAAGGAAAGCATAGTTTTCCATGCACAAATGTGAAATCAAATATTTTTTTAAGAATTATTTATTCATTACTTTGGGAAAACCAGTAAAGAACTTGAAAAGCAATAACAAACTTAGGAAATAACAGACAGAGACTACTCAAAGTAAATGGAATGAGAATAGGCTATCTTTAGAAGAAATGACCTGGTTTAAAAAGTAATTTAAAAGAAAGCTAATGTCAACCACCAGGATATCAGTAGATTATACCCATTTTTAAAATGTTTTTCTCAATTTGTATTTTTTAAAAGAATCAGTGTCCTCATATAATCTATGGGCACATCAAAGTAGACTCAGTGAGCCTTACATGGTAATAATTTTTGCTTATTTACCATTTTGCTTCCATGGGTAGGTGTTTTGTGTTTATATGGCCACTCAGATATTAAAAAAATAAAATTTAAATTTAAAAAACTGATTTGCTAAGAGTTCCTCATGGGTATAGGATGTATTTATCCACAAATATACCAAAATGTTGAGGAATAGCTAAGGAAAGAAGTGAAGGCAGCTGACCAAACAGCAGGTTCACAGGAGTGAGAGGCACTCCATTTTTTCAAAAAGTGTGTGTGTGTGTGTGTGTGTGTGTGTGTGTGTGTGTATGTCCAGGAGAAGTACAAAAACAATTTTTTAAAAACTAATAAAAGTAGCCCTGGCCAGTGTGCTCACTGGTTAGAGCATTGGCCCATGCACTGAAGATTAAGGGTTCAATTCCCAGTCAAGGGCATGTACCTGGGTTGCAAGCTCGATCCCCAACCCGAGCCAGGCGCCTGAGGGAGGCAATCAATCAATGTGTCTCTCTCACATCGTAGCCAGGCACCTGAGGGAGGCAACCAATCAATGTGTCTCTCTCACATCGATGTTTCTCTCTCTCACCCGCTTCCTCCATTCCTCCTACTCTCTCTAAAAATCAATGGGAAAAGGATCCTCAGGTGAGGATTAATAACAACAACAAAAAAAACAACCAATAAAAGTTTTTACTTGATGGAAGTGATTATCCCTGAATGAATGAATGAATGAATGAATGAATTACTTTGGGAAATCCATTCTGAACATATTAGAACACACTGCTCAAAAATTACTCCATATTGTTTAAAGGGTTATCAAACTTCCAATTAATTTTTTAAATTTTTGATTATATAAAAACAAAAAGAATCCTTCACTTTTCGAGATATATACACAAATATTAATGGGAGAAATGATATCTTGGGTTTGCTTGAAAATAATACAAGAGAAAAGGGGAAGTGGATGGGAATATACTGTAGGTACAGCAGGAGTTGATGACTGACTGTTGAAACTGGGTGATGAGTACATAGGGTTCATTATATTAATATATTTACTTTCATTTTGTAAATTTTCCATTGTAAAAGAGATAAAAAATGCAGAGAAAAAAAAATTAAACAAAATTCCTCTTCATGTTTTTCTAGTAGATACAATAGATAACACATCCCAGTATGAGGTTCAGAGAGATCCCAGTAAGAAAAATTCCTCAACACCTACTTCTCTATGGCTTCTAACTAAACCATCTCCCAATCACCTCGTTTTCTTTATTAGTCTTCAAATGTTTTTTTTAAAAAGAAGACATTACAGCCAAGGCCAAAGGGCAGAAGGGGACTCACGTGGCTGCCATGACCACCTCCTCGGAGGTCACGGGCTGGGTGTGGGATCTGTCCTGCAGACGCCGCAGCCTCTGCTCCACGGCCGCACTTCTCGAACCTCGCTTTGGAACATTTTTCTCATCAAATGACTTTTCCATTTCCTGAGATCAGAAACATTGTGGAATCCTCATGAATTCGAGAAAAGGAAATTGGGGCAGCAAAATGTTTCTACCTTGTTCCCCTACCCTGGGAAACACCCAAGATGTTTGAATCAGTATAGGAAATGAACGTTGGTGCTGTGTCAGCTGGTGGTCACATCAGTCAAGGATCTGAAGAGGGGTGAGCCACAGAGGGCCAGGTGCAGGACACAGTGGACGCCTCCCCCAGGAGGGGGCAGCTGCTACTCAAACACTTCAGCACATCTTACCCGGAAAAGCAGCCTCTTGGCAGCAACACTCAGTTTGGCTCGTTCATCTACCTTTTCTTCATCTGTAAGTAAAAAGCCATAACATAAAAACTAGACATCATTAAAAAAATGCATGTAAAGATTCTAAAAAGTTCCTCAAGGCTGACCTGGAAACCCTTTGAATACAAGAATGGAAGTACCAAAAATTACAGTTGGCAGTATTTCCCCTTTGCAGGGAGCCTATTCTGCTCAGTGAAAAGGTGCTCATTTCCATTGTAATTAACCAAACAAAATTCTGTCTGGATAGTAATTCTCTATTGTTCTATTTGACAAGTTGAGATTTAATAATAGTTTTTTAGGGGAAAGAACGGCTCTTCCTTATTATTCAACAGCAGTAGCAGCAATAACAAGAAACCTACTTCTTTGGAGCAAATCAGTTGTTTTATTATTGCTGACTCATCAATTTTCTAACTCTCTCAAAGATAACAGAAAGATCCTCTGAAAACCCAAACTAGGTTTTGTTATATTGACAGAAAGAATGCCTGCAAAAGAGTAAGAAATAGGTATGCATGATAATCTCATTCTCAAAAAAGCAAAAATCGTATTTAAATCTAATCTGGGGGAGATGATAAAGAAGCAAAAGGAAAACAGATACTTGCCCTCAGCAGTTGGCATTTCTGAATTTGAAGTAGACCTAGGAAAGACATTAACAAGTAATAATAAAAAAATTAGCTGGTGGGAGTAGAAGGTCCATATAAATGATCATAAAAATAAAAATGCAATTAAAATTTCTTAAAGAATATCATCCTGATAGTAATTGTAGTTGTGAATATATATGTACAGTTAACAGACACCATGGAGTGCATGTGCACACAGCCCAGCCAAGTGGACACCTTGTGGAGACAAACCAGAAGCAAATGTGACTTATTCAACATGACTGATGATAATTTTTTAGACAAACCTTATCATTTCCAGGGATAATCAAGTGATAATATAAAACTCAAATAAAACAAGCAGGTAGACATTTTAAAAATGAATATTCCTCAGTTATTTTAAAATATGGTGAATACTCCACTTGGATCCTAACTTAACAAGGACATAAAAAATTAAAAACATTAAATGAAGAAAAATTTTCTTCTTATAGTTTGAGTGCAATTTAAAACAGTATCTTGGGATTCTGTTGTCAAGGACAACATTCATTAAAAATACATTTATATAAACCAAGTGAATATCCCTTATCGATTAGATGGAAGAACTATGGAATCACCACATCCCATTTAAACAGCATCAGGACCATCCCTGTGATGAAAATCCTGTATGAGTTAAGTTCCTAGACATACATGTGCCTACCTATCTGATTCCTTTCGTTCTGCTGAGGTTATAGGTTGAGTTCTAAATCTCTCAGAAGTTTTTCTACTTTCACCAGGAGAAAAATAGCGTCGTGGTTTCTGGGACCCTCTCTCCCGTTCCACACTGGTAGGCAAGCCAACTCCTTTGGTTGACCTCTCAAGCCGTGATTGGCTTTTAGAATCATCAGGAGAGAGGATATAGCAGGGGACCGGAGAGGTGAGAGAGAGAGAGAGAGAGAGAATAAAGCAAAGGTTTATGCATCTCAGTGAGTCACGGCACAGACACCACCAAATCCCGCTACATCCCTTTCCCATGCATGCAAAGGAGACGGAGCATTCCAGAGACCCAATCCTCCAGCTCCCTGTTAGTAGGCAAAGCAGAATGGTAGTTTTGGAGCCATGTCCTATATGGTCTGCCCTGCACACTTGTGAGCTAAGCTTAAATGTGACTCAATGCAGGACACAATACAACTTGAGAAATTAATAATTTTGCCAAGGACGTGCAAGTGACACATTGGGAGGACTTTTGAAACATCACCTACAATTCAGGTTTCTTGCTGGCATTGGCAGACTCCAGAAATGCACTTCGGAGCTGGGCGACAGAGACCTTGGTGTCCAGCACGCTCAGCTCCGAGTGGGGCCCCTCAGCTTTGGGACCCTGCAGCTCCAGCTGTCCCTCTGCAGTTGGGTGCTTACTCTTCAGGGCTTGGAGCTGAGGGGGGGCCGTGTAGTCAGACAGGGAGCGGGTGAGGACCTTGCGCTTCCTTCTAGGTGCTTCTTTTTTGTGACCTGTCACTCTGGCATCTTGGGATACAGGCTCACTCTGAACATAGGAAACCATTTCACTCCTGCCCATTCTCTCAGTGAACTGGTGCTGAGCTTGAGGTGGGTGTGAAAGACTTTCTGGCTCCTTCCGATGTTCTAAGGTGATGGTGCCAAGAGCGGCAGGCTTACCAAAGTCCTCATTTCCAGAAGTGTCCTCGTGGCTTCTCTCAAGCCCCCCATCCTCTAAAGCCAATAGTGCTTTCCTGCTTTTCTCGAGAGCTTCAGTGAGGGGCACGTCGTCTTCTGCTTGTGATTCACAAATATGGAGAATGGGGGTATCTCTTCTCTCACCTTCGAGAACCTTCAGGGCGGGAGGCTTTATGACATTCTGGGTGGCTGATCCCACCCAGCTGCACTCAGACACACTTTCTGGGGTTTCTGAGGTCACCAGCATGGCAGAGTGCACAGGATCTGCTGGTTGGACATAGCCACGGATCGGCTGTCGTGCAGAGCTGGCTGCCTTGCTCGTGACCCTATCGAAGGCCGAGTTTTCTGAATGAAAGGACAGGTAATGCCCTGGCATGGGCTGGCGTCTCCTGTGACTTAAGGACTCTGAGGCAAGTTCAGGGCTGCTGCGAGCACTCTCCTCTTTCACCAATTTTTCTCTAACTTTAACTCTTTAAGAAAGAAAAAGGTTTAAGTTGCAAAGAGCAGTAACTACTTAACAGGAAGGAAGCATGCGTGCATCATGGATTACCAGTCAACGGAAATAAAACCAAGGAGGGAACAATTTGTGGAGAAGCATTTTGGGTAGTTAATATCAGAAGCCCACTGCTTGCAAAATGAATGATTTTGAATTGAGTTTTCAAATGTGTATTCAAATGCCAGGGTGGTGCAAAACTAACTCTACCCGTAAAGCTCAGCGGTCAGATGCTGTCCTGGGAGAGAATGGATGCCTTCCAACTGAATGGATACCCAGAAGCCACAGAAAAATCCCTGAATACACACCAGTAGTATGCACAAGGGCACAATGGGGCTGATGCTGTGAACAGTAAGCTTTCTGCATGTACAGGCCTAGCATATGACTGTGTGTAGTTTCCAGGCATACCTACACCTACTGACCAAATGTGATTTCATCATCTTCTGGAAATGTAAGAGTACTCATGATTACTTTATTCCTGAGTTCAAGATACAACAAATAATCACCTCTTTCAAGCACACAACTCAACATTCACAAGCTTTTCATGCAATGCAGACTGCATTCATTCATTCAGAAAACATGCCACCAGTTTAGTCATCATTACTAATGGGTGTCCCAAAATTCATGCAAAAAGTAATTTTGATAGAAAACACAGGTTTATAATTAAAAATTGTAAATTTTTTATTGATTCTTAAAGTATATAGTATAGGGTTATGTATGGAATAGCACATCGGATAAATGGCCTCCACGGCTTTGCTGGCACATACGCAAAGCCGTGGTTTTCATTGGTCTTCATTGTCCCTGCTCCTGGGCCATAATTGGTGCTTGGTAATGCTTATCAAATTGAAGGGATTGAAATCAAAGG